GTCTTAAAGCTAAACAAAAATTATATATATTGAACTTCTCTAAGTCTGTCTTGTTGACATAAACTTTGAGCAAGTTTATCTGCTAACATTTATTATTTTTTTGGTAGAAAAAATAGAGGAAAGGGGAGGAGAGAAGGCTATTGTTTAATTTGACAAATTTAGTTTCTTATTGCCTACCCTTTTATACTTCATTTATATTTAGGATACTGTTTTTGCAGACTGTTGGTTAACAAATGTTATTCTGAAGCGTACTTTGTTTCAGTTATTTTGTTGTAGCAACGTTATCGGAAGTGCTATTAGGAGCAGTTTTTACAGTTGTAGTTTTGTTGTTTTTGTTCTTAGTGTAGTAGTAATTTGTATTTTGTATTTAGCTTGTTTAATACGCTATAGATTTGCCTTAAAATGTGGTGGAGAGGCATCTAGGTTCAGAAGCATGCTAATTATTGTTTAATAATGAAACATTGAAAAGAAGGAGGCAAAGTTTATTGTCTAATGAACAAATAAATAACAGTTAAAAATGATGAGAGAGGTAGCCGGTCTGGTTTGAAATGTTCAATTTTTTTGGATCATAATCTAGCAACAAGATGCGTAATACTCTTTTTAATTTTTTTCTAAGTAATGTATCTAGATATCTTTTGAAAGAGTGGGTGTTGGGAAGAAACACTTGGGCGCAATAAACAGTTTTTGTGCAAACTTGTTTATTTCTGTTCGGGTTTTATTTGAGGTCTCTCTTGTTTTCCACTTTGATAGCATTGGATAGTATGTGGCATGAGCGAACTGGCAGAGAGAATCTTTTTTTTTTTTGAGGGGGGAGGGGTTGGAGGAAGGGGTTGATGATTGATGTGACAAAGGTTGGTTTGATTAAATTCTGCCGATATTGTTACGGTCGTCGTTTCCGTTATTAATGCTTTGGTAGGATTAATACTAGATGTAAGTTTTTAGGAAGCAAAAATTGACTTGTTTTTTGTGTGTATATGTAAAGATTTATATTTGTTGTTTATACTGTCTTGACTTGTTTTGTTTGTAATGACGTTGATCGAGTTTGTAGAGATTTTGAGTGAACTGACTGACTTACTGATAGTTTAGATGTTTCGTTACTTCAATAAGCTTTGACGATAATCTAGTTTTTTATACACCAGCGCCTTTCTTCTTACTGTTTCTTCATTTATCTAGTTTTTATTGATAACTTTTTTTTGGTCTTTTTCTCGTCAACTTTTTTTTTGCGTTTTTAACTTTTATTTCTCGATATTGGTTGATTTTGTTTTTGTTGTTGTCGATGTGACTGCGAAATTTCTTTATTACATTATTTTTTGAGAAAGCTTATTTTTATTTAAGATTATTATTGGCAACAATTTACCAAGCATCTGCTCATCAAATCGCTATTTGATAACTTCGTTCATACTTCATTATTGTTCGACAATCTCAGTGCAATATATACATATAAATACATTTAAAGAAAGACGTGTAAACGTCTCTAATTAACAAAAAAAAAAAAAATCTATATTGGAATTGTTCGGTAACTATGGGTAGCACCGGTTCAAGGCATGATCATTATGCTGCAGAAAATTTTCACCGTAAGCGTTTGGAAAAAACGCGATCATTATCAGTAGCTGATCAGCATAACACAAACATTGGATTTTATCCGCCTCCAATATTACATAATTTGTATCCAGAGTTGGAAAATAATCCAGCGATTATTAAGCAGTTAGGGAAATCGACAAACGTTGTTCGTGGACATCGGGCTGATACATATTTAGGCGATATGATACTTGGGAAATCATCGGTGCATCCGGTGCATGTTCATTTATCGGCAAAAGCATCTTCGTCGTCAACCAGTTCTTCTGGTTGTGAATCATCAACATCGGAAGAAAATTTTGAAAACCTTCATGAAACGTCAGCTGGAAAACCGCCTCGGTCCAGACTTTACACTCCAAGGTTAAAAAAATTTTCCTCTTATGAGCTTCGACAAACACGTCTTTCTGTGGATTCTGGTACTGGGCTGGATGACGATGAGCCACAGGTTTTACCAGATTTACATAGCAGCGCTCATGATTTGCGGGTAGATAGCTGTAAAGAAGATAATTTGAATGCAGAGGCTGATATCGACAATATACCAAATGTCGATGAATCTGTAAATTGTAATAAGCAATCGAGAGATGAAAAATTATCAAAAAAAGCAGAATTATGCGGTCATCTTTCTATTGGTGCTACTGAAGCCAAGAAAAAGAGGAAGAAAAGAGCAAGATCGTTGGGAAAATCGCTGAGAAATCTTAGAATGAGAGCATTTTCGCTGCAGTCAATTTCGTTTGATGAAAGTAAAAGAAAACGTAAGTTTTAAAGCAAAATTCATTATTTGTATTACTAACATTATTTACTTATTATTTTTTTTTTCAACTTTTTTTTTTTACTTTTTAACAAGAATATCAGTTACTTGCGTTAATAATTGTTGAATGTCTCTTCGAGATCGAGATTGTTTTGAAATCTTCTGTTTACACATTTTTTGACAATTGGACAATAATTTTGCTGAATTACAGACTTTTTTAATAACTTTCTTACTTTTTTATATTTGTCTTCAGAATTCCTTTGGTCTGTTGCACACAGTTTTTTAGTTAGAGACGGTGTTATTTTGAGTTCGTGATCATCTTTTTCGTGGTGTACTTAACAATTGACGTACAGTTGAACGCTACTTTAGACGGTTTAAGATAATAAGGTAGTCGTAAATGAATGGAGAAGGAGAAACTGTAGTGTGTTGTGATTTTTTTGTTATTTCTTGCGTGATTTAGATTTCTGAGCGAGTTTGTAAATATGCAGATTTATTCTTTGAACGAGAACTTTTGTCTTTTTTTTCAATGTTTGAAGAACAGTATTCTGTTGAGACACTTTTTTCTGTGGATCGCAGTTTGAAGCTGTATTTAAACAAATTCACAGGACAGTAGACTTGATTTTATAAGTTAATTGTGAAAAAATGAGATTTTAGAGGAACTTTGATGGCATTTTTCAGCCGATCCGACGTCGCTTTGTTTAAGTGATGTATCCTCAATGGAATTTTTGAAAAATTGAAGCTTATGTTGAAAACTTTTTTTTTTTTTAATCGTTCTAACAAATTCGATTTTGTGGGTTTTTAAATTTTTTTTCTGCATTTGTTAATATGTTGGATTTTCTAGGTTGGAAATGGTTTTTGTTCCAAAAGCAGAAAAATTGTTTAGAATAAATTGATTTTTAGTAAAAATTTCACTAAACTAAACCTTTTTATTGTTGCAGTTTAAATAAGGGCAGCTGTAAGTGGAAATTGGTTTGTTGTATCAAATTAAAACTGGTGAGGATTGAACAGTTTTATTTCTTCATTTCTTTATTTTTTATCTTTTTTTTTTTGCTTCGTGGAAAATTGAAGTGTTAACAGGTTGTCTGGCTTAACATTAGGTTTACATAGAAGATGAAAAAATCTACTAATACAAATTGGCAGTTAAGATTTTTGATCTTTGTGGCTTTGCCAAGGAAACACAGCAAGCAAGCAGCTAAATTTATAAAAATTTTTTTCTTTTTTTGTAATAGGTTCTCTGGTTTAGTTTGTTAGTTTTTTCTATATTCTTCTACTTAATTTGAAGTACTGAAAATCTTCAATTAAGAATCAATGTTCTAAGTGTTTGTTGCAGATAAGATTTTTTTTTTTTTTTTTTTTTTGCAGCCAATGAAGATTAGTCGCTGCCATTAAAACTGCACTATGTAAGTGTTTATCAGTGCTGAATTGTTGGGTTAAAAAAACGGAAAGCTTTTCTTTTTTTTGACTACAAAATAGTTGAATGATTATGACATAAGGTGTGATAAGTTTATTTGGCAGAAGAGTTAAAAGGTCAAAAATTTTTTTTTTTTTTTTTT